AATGAGTAAGAAGATCATCTCTTTCAAATCATTTCAGTACATTGGCGACGTTTCACAAAGTCAACATATTCGGTGATGAGATGAAGAGAGAGCGAAAGCAATATTCAAGCACAATCAACGTGACAGTCATCCGTGTATGACTTACTACTGGAAAAAAGATTTTGCATACAAATGCCAGAACGAAAAAATACAATGTGAAGAAGCGAGTGGCGCAGGTGTCGATAAACAGAACGTTCACGTTACAGGTAAGAAGCTAAAAGCGAAATAATAAAGGTGTGAGACATACAAAACAGGAAGACAGGCATACTTTGTGCACTTTAGGTTTCTTTCTTTTTTACACAAAGATTGTTAAAAAAGACTCTTATAGTTAAAATGAATATCAGCAAGGGTTTTGTGTATGTGGAAGAGGTATCAGTCGATGAGGAATTCAAATGTTCAATATGTGATGAATCGTTCAACGACCCTTTGTACACGCCTTGTGATCACACATTCTGTCGATTCAACCATGGCTTTTGAAGAGTACAGCAACTGATAATACATCATGTCCAACTTGTCGGCATCTACCATTAATGCTGAACGGTCTAAAACCAGCAAGTCGTCTTATTAAAAATCGTGGGATCGATATCCGGTACAATGTCTTGCATGTGGACTAGATGGGATCCAACGGGGCTTATTTCCAGATCATGCAACAAAACTATGTCCAAAATCTAATGTACCTTGTTCAGGATCCGATCTTCAGTGTCCTTGGATGGGGCCACACGATTAATTAAAAATTCATTTGACATCGTGTCTTTTTGAACAAATTCGTCGTGCGCTCACTGTGTGTTTTGCCACAAATAGCCGCCTCGAAAAACTATGCATTCAACAACAAGAACAGATGACGATTCTCAATGAACGATGTAACGAGTAGCAGGGACAAATTGATGAGTTGATTACCACTACAAGATAGCTCAATAGTATCCTCATGTCTCTTAACAAAGAAGCCATGTTCACAGGTCAGTGTAGTGATGAACAGATAACACCGCATAAATTGAATCGATACTTAGGAAACATATTCTCATCTCATAGTCTCTCATTATGTGGAACTCATTTTTTTGACACGTTCTAGGGACATTCGTTGCTATTCTTATGAAAGCTCTCAAATGAATGCTCATTTACCCGGTTCAGTTTAAATTAGATTTTGGTAATATAGTACTGACCAAAACTATCAGAGACGCGTCTAAAAGTTATTGTGCACATACTCTCTGCAGAATGTTGATTAGTGACATATTCCTCGATTGTTTGAGTGTTGTTAACGGAGTTATTTTGTTAGTAGCTTTTTTGGTTGTGAACTGCTCATATCGATGGAATACTAGAACTTAATAAACGCTTTTTACTTATGATACTGTTGCTGACATTTTGATCTCAAAAATAAGTCATTTTCATTCACTTACAGTGCTATTTATATAATGCAATGAATAATAATTTTTTTTTTGCTGCGCGTTTCGTTTAAGTTGCGCAATTTTTACTTTTTAAGTTATCCGAATCATTAGAAACAAGCGAAGGACAGAAACAACAAAGAAAGAAACAGGTAGAGTTTTTATTTCATAGAAATATTCTTCTTATAGCCAAAATCCTAATCTATCCTAAGCCTAAAAATTATCGTAATCTGCCTTTTTTCTTTTTGTTGTAAGAAGAATATTTCGATGAAATAGAAACTCTACCTGTTTCTTTCTTTGTTGTTTCTGTCCTTCGCTTGTTTCTGATGATTCTGATAACTTAAAAGATAAAAGTTGCACAACTTAAATGAAGCACGCAGCAAAAGAAAAAATTATTATTCATTGCATTATATAAATAGCACTGTAAGTGAATGAAAATGACTTATTGTTGAGATCAAAATGTCAGCAACAGTATCACAAGTAAAAAGCGTTTATTTATTTAAAAATGGTTATGGTTTAATAATAAAACAATTTGATTTACCATACAATAGAACAAATGTTGAATTAGTTGATGATATATTGCCAAAACAACCGACATATGGAACATTTTGGATACAATCATTAACACCTGATGGTAAGACATCTCTAACTATTCAAATATTGTCTTTATCAGCTAGTCGATTTAAGAGTATTTCTGCAAAAAAGGATCAACAG